ACGGCGGGAATTGTGTTTCGCTGCCGGAATGAAACGCGACGTCGAGGCGCTTTTCATCCTTTTTGTTCGGCTCTTGGAAATAACGTTGCGGTTTGTGCCCCCAAGTCACCCGTTTGCACTTAGCATATGGTGGCCTGTGGTTCTCGCGTTCCCTCGATTCCCTCAATGATGTCGAGTTTTGACATGAGGGGGGTGTGGGGGGGGGGGGTGTTAAGAACAAGCCTGGCCTCAATACAGCCGACAACTGCCTGGAGTTGTTTGTGTGCAGAAAAGGAGCGTTTGGGTTGAAATGGGACTCCGTGCGGCGATCCCTCTCTTCAACTACTTTGAAGACGAGGCTCCGAAGAAACGCACAACTCGCAAATGTGAAGGACACATTCTAATTGCATTTGTTCTGTTTCAGCAAAAACAAACGTTTCCCAGAATTTTCCTGATTTCAAGGCATTCAAGGGGCATTTCCTATTTGCTCAAAGGCGTCAATCACACACGTTTTCTGTCTTTCTTCATATGTGATATTGTTTCATGATGAAAGATGCCATGTTAGTTTAAATGTTGAAGTTAAAGCTAATTAGCTCACAGTCAATCTGTCATCTTTCCTTTGTTTTTCTGCAGTTTCTGAGCTCCGCTGCCGCCCTTCTCCAAATAGATTTTACTGCATCACCCAATGAATGCGTCCCAGTTATAGGATTTCCCCAAAAGGGAATGATCACTTATGCAGAGACCAGGCTCCGGTTTACAAGGACCGAGATGCTTCAAGTTTGGTTTTTTGGGTTTGGCGGATTCTTAGGTTGTTTGTTATTTTTGTGCTTTTGAGGCTTTGGTGGCCGAAGCACGAGAAACATGAATGACGGGCGTCCGCTGTGGTTAGAAGACGGGCCTCGGGTTTGATTTACCAGAACTTTTCATCTAGTGCTGGAGATGATTTTTTCTTCCTCTTCTTCTCCTGTTCAAACTGGAGGAAAATAGCAACCAGTCCAAAGTAATCACACCAATCACGTATGCAGGAGAATGCTGTTATAATCCATAGAAGGAATCAGTACAGTTTGGGACTTATTGGCCTTCGGCATCATGGCGCCTTCAACCTAAAACCTTTTTTTCTGTTGACCATCGTGAGGCAAAACAAGTCAGACTTGATGCAAGTAAACACTCTCAAGCCTCAATCTCCAGCTTCAAGTCGTTCTCTTGACTGAGAATGAGACCATAACTGATGGGAAAGATGCACGAAATGGGTCAACGAAACCCAAACTTATTCACAGTAATTAAACCGCTGCTGCTTTCCATTATTTCTCCTTCTCTTTTTTTTTTTTTGCTCTTTAGAGATAAAAGCTGAGCAACGTTACAATAAACATTCCAGGGGGTGTCAACCACCCGGAGCCTAATTAGAGACCCGGGAGGCCGAGGGAGACGGATGACTGCCGTGTCTGTGTGTGTGTGTGTGTGTGTGTGCGTGTCTGTGTGTGTGTGTCTGCTGGTTACGTGCTGCAGGTGGCTGGATGTAAACGTTGGCTTTTATCTTGGCTTTGAACACATAAGCTACGGGGCCTCCACAGGTGTGTGTGTGTGTGTGTGTGTGCGCGTGTGTGTGTGTGTGTGCACATAGGCCCACAGGCAGTCATTTGTCATGGGGAGACCACCTCAACAAAGCCTCGCCGGGGTCCGAGTGTGACACCGCGATGTGCGTTGTGTGTGCAGCCACCAATGGTGGCACCGACGCCAATGTGGGTCTGTCAGCTGCGTCGGGGAGACTTCAGACAACCAGCAGATGCGTCGGTTGGGTAATTGCGTCGAGTCACTGTGTCCCGTCCCCTCACCCATAGGAGCAGACGTTAGAAGTTGTGCGTCAATGTGTGCGCGCCGGCAAGTTTAGTTTTTTAATTAAAGCAGTGGGACAAGCGGCGCGGAGGAGGACGATCCCGGACAGTGACTCAGCGTGACGTCATGGGAGGGAGGAAAGAGACGTCCGTCCTTCTTCTCCACGGTGGACACGTCCCCCAAATCCCCCCCCCCCCCCCCCCCCCCCCGATTCCGCTCAGAGTGGGAATTTCCATCCTACTCCGTCCTGGATGATCAGACGCTGTGAGCTTCCTGCTTCCGTCCCAACCGGGTGATGAGAAAGATGCTGACTGTTTATTTCCACCGAATAACCGACTGTGTTTTCATTGGAACTGCGTTTTCCTCCAGCTGGAACTGTGACTGTTATCACTGATACGTCTTCCGTACACATTCTATAATTGAAGTTTTGTTTTGTCTGTAAAATGTCAGAAAGTAAGAAACCAACATTTGAGTCCAAACTGATGCGTAGTAGTCGCATGCGCTGCTCGCCGTCCCGTCTGTGCGGCGTCCTGAAGAATCACAAAGCTGCTGGTTGAGCTGTTAAATGTCATTTTTAATGCTACGAGCCCCACAAATTAATCTACGTTCGGCCTTTTGTTGCATTGAAGCAGCCGCAGAAATGTCAACGCTGGATTAAGAACAGACAGAAACTATCTCCGGGGTTTTACACACCGAAAGGAGAGTTTTCTGTTGCGCGTGTGTGTGTGACCCCTCACACCTTCACACTCCCTCTCAGCTGAGACTGAAATGCTAAAAGATTTGAGAGGCTTACGTACAACGCCAACCAAAGATCCTCCCGGGTGCCGAGACGGAGAAAAAGCAACGCTCAGAGAGTCTCGGCCACCAAGTAGAAAAATGCAGCATTAAAATTCAGGGCCAGGAAGCTCATGTTTGCTCGAGAAAAAACAAGGCCGTGACATAGTCCGGCCCCCTGAATATGTGAATTCAAAGCATCTGGGCCGACTTCTCCTCCACAACAGCCCATTGGCAGGCAGCTCAGCGCTGCCAGACCGCTTCCCAGCACATGGCGCTGTAATATTCCACCCAGCGACCTCCCAATAACAAAGCAGGGCAAACGCACGCAGGCGGGAGAGCGGCTGGAGGCCCGTCGTTTGTCGCCCGTTATCTCCCACCCAACGGAGAAAAAAAGGGCCACCTTTCCGGCAGAAAGTAGTTAAGGTCATGTGCGGATGTGGCTCCTTTTATCTGTAGAGAGAGAGAGAGAGAAGAAAACCCAGCAGAGTTACAGTAACTCCTGCAGACCAGGAGGAATGCGGCCGGGCAGCGTGTGCGGACGTGCCCACAACGTGTGATCTCACATCAAACGCACAACGAAGACAAAGGAAGCCACCGCAAAACTGATTAAGTGTTCCCGGGAAGACGGGAGGCGGCGGCAGAACTGCGGTTGCTGTCCGGCGCGAGGCGCTTTGTGACCAGCACGCGGGCTGGTCACACGTCGCAGGCTCAATGACGGGACAGCAGTGGCTCGGGCCGCTGCGGTGCAAAAGCTGTTAAGGTCCACAGTCGTTGGGCAGCAGCACCCTCGGGGGCCCGCGTGCACGCAGAACCTTCCCGTTTATTTGCGTATAATAATACAGAGAATTCCAGCTTCTCAATGGTGTGAATATGAAGCAAAACGTAGAAACGCTTGAACAGACTTGTTGGAATAATGAATTGATAATTAAAACAGTTTTAAACGTACACAACAAAAGTACTAGTATTGTTCCTTTGTGTGCTATTATATCACATATTGCAGCATTAAAAGTACCACAGTACTCTGATGCACACATTCATATAGACTGGTAACACTGATGTGTGGTTTACTCTCTAAAAATTTTATTATAATGGGATACATAATGCGCATAATGTTGTAGTTACTTTAGACCGACTGCTTGTTTTAGAAAAGGTTAGACATCTCTGCAAAGTCCGTATGGTTAAATTACAATAAATCTCTCTTAAACGATCTTTGGCTGTAAACGTAAGAGAAGTTTTTACCATCCGGCATCTGTGAAAAGGGCACACGTCACGCTGGATTACTCGCCCGGTGCTCCCCGTCTCAACCCCGTCGGTTTTGGCAAACTAAATAAGTGTCGGGCCTTGTTTTCCTCCAGAGGGGTGAGCTCATACTACATCTTCTATTCTTAGGCCGCGCGGTGCTGCAGGGAAACACACGAGGGCGCTGTTCACGCCGAGGACCAGACTGCTGACACACACACACACACACACACACACACACACACACACACACACACACACACACACACACACACACACACACACGGTGAACCAGTTTCAGCCAGAGAGAAACATAAGAAAAGCTTTCATGGACAAATCTGAAGTACAATTAATATTAAAGTCTCCACAATCAGCAACTATAACCATAAAACAAGTCTTGTGATTCCCCAAAATGATGGCGAGGGAGTCGCTTCTACAGACAAATGAAAAAATGACCCAGTTTCTTTGATTACAACTCCAGCTGCACAAAAATACGTAAGTGTGATTTTATTACAGATGTATTGGCTATGTGTCACCTCTGGATCAGGTGCAAATCCTTCTCCCGCGCCCGCTCCTCCACAGCGGCGCTGTTAAAATGATGCGTTGCCTTCGTGTGCACTTTAGCGTTGAGCACATGTCGCTGCCCGCGGGGGCTCCAAACGTGATGGACCCCCCCCCCAATTAGATTTAGACCCCAAGATAAAAAGCAAGTCAATCCTCCCGTGTGCATGCAGCCGCGTGGACGGCGCCCCCCCTCCGTGCACGCCGGGTGCTACTTGTGGAGCGAGCACTGCAAAGTCTTTATCAAAACAAAAAAGCCCAAAAAACGTGGTTTGCGTCGTCTTTCCCTCATGCTTCTCTGATGTTTGAAAGGCCGCAGATGTGCACGGCTCTTCATCTTGACAGATGTGCTCACCACACACAAGGTCGACTTATATTACCCAGAGGTCACCGTTGCAAACACAAAAAAAACCCACATATAAGACATAGAATATTATAAGCTTTTTTTTTTTGCCAACAGAGCCTCTCCATGACGTTCAGTTGACACTTTATTAACCTGCTGTTCATCGAGTCCAGCCTCCCTCCTCCTCCCTCCTCCTCCCCCCTCCTCCCTCCTCCTCCTCCTGCGTACTTCCCGCTGCTTGCACGGCGCTGCAGGTTGAATCCATTGCGCCTGTTTCCTGTCACATGGGCTGGAAACAGGATCCCCGCTCGCTGCTATCTGTTGCCGTGTCTCTGGTGTCGGAGGCGCAGAGGCTGCGGGACCTTCCTTGAAGTTCAGCGACTTTGCGGCTGCGCCCGAAGTCGGACTCCTGCAGCGACGCGCACAGTCGGCCAGCGACGCGCACGGCTCGGACCAGCAGCTCGCCGGCGTACGCGCATCCTGTCCGCCGTCCGCGCGCGGCGCGCTTCACCTGAGGGACCTCTTTAATCGCGCGATGGATTCCTGGACGGTCACGTCGGCTCTCCTCCTCGCCGGCGCTATTTCCTCTGCGGCTTTCAGCGTTTTCGACACCGGTGAGTCAAAAGTTTTTTTGGCCCGCGGACGCGTTCCGACGGAGTGTCTCTTTGGCGCAGCGGACGGACTGTTTGTCCCGTCGGAGGGTCAACCGCGCACACGAGCGGGCGGTTCGTTGACGATCGTGTTGGAAGCCGTGCGGCTCGATCTGGGGACCGAACATGCCTCATAACTTCATTTACAGTTCGCCGTCTTGCTCAGAATCCGCCGGCGCGACGCGGTTCCCCAAACGACACCACGTCGCTAAAAAAAAACAACAAAAAAAAACGAAGCCAAATATATTTGGCTGTGAATGAGGGAATGTGGTGTGATGGAACACTTGTGTACCCGAACCGCATCCAAAGGGGTCCTCGGACCGGCCGAGCCCCCCGTGACAGAACACAAATCGAACCCACACACAGAAGAGCTCAGGAAACATCTGGAACCGATGTCACGTTGCTGCCCGCTCGGGTGAATCAGGGATGCGACGGGCAGCTTTTACGCACCGGACTCTCCGGCCCGCCGCGCGCGTCTACCCCCCCCCCCCCCCCCCCCCCCCCTCTCTGTTTACCTGTTCTGCATCAGCTTCCAATTTATTTCACTGCAACCTTTTACATTTGCCCCGGCCCCCCCCCCCTTCCATTTTCAATTGAGAAGAATTTTTTTTGTATAAAAATTCCTGTCCGGGCGGGGGAATACCTCGTTTGGCATTTTTTCCATTTTTGTTTTTAATGGGAACCCCCCACCCCCCCCCCCCCCCCCCAGGAGAAAGAGGGGTTGCTTGCGTCCATCTGCAGAACTTGAAAGTCGCAGGCGGATGGAATGTTTCGTTTGAATGTGCAGATCTAATAACGATGACCACACAAACCGAGCTCCTCTTTGCTGTAATTTGTGCCGCGTTTCATGTCGAAGCAGCAAATCCTCCTGCTTTCCTTTTTAATTTTTTTGTCTCTTAATTATACCCTTGGATTTCAAATTAGAGGGCCCACCATCTGCTAGTGCGTAAGTACTCCCATGTGTACCTATGTATTAACAAAGTATTTAAAGCGATGGTGTTCCCCCCTCATAACACTGGGAAGGGGGAAAAAAAGAGGCCCGGTTTATGTTTTAGTTTAAGTCAGCTGTGCCATATTTACTGTACAGAAAAACAATCATTTCACGCGTCTAAAAGAAGTGCGTCTCTTGTCACAGACTGTTTGATGCTCTCCTTTTTGCCACGTGAGTGAAACCTAACAACACCTCAAGTGTTCCCGCTCCACACTTTTATCATTTATGTCATTTTATCAAACATTCTACGATTCTTTTAGGGGCCGTGACTCAACTCTTCTGCGGTGGCTTAGTTCAGCTTTGTTTCCTATAATCACAGAGTGTTTGGAGCTACTGAAGGAGCTCAAAGGCAGAAAACATTCAGCCCTCGGAAATCAAGGAGTTTCCAGGCGTGCGGTTTGGTGCTCCTGCTCTACGGGAGAGCTCCAATCAAAAAGGCTGATTGGGTGGAGGATGGATGGATGGAGGAGGGAAGGTGTTCGCACCGAGACAAACAGAATACGTCGCCGATCTGCAGCAGCAGCTGAATTATGTAGCGCGGCGTGCTTGTGGTTTCGAAACGTCCGTATGCATTTTATGAACGTGAACTCTTATCGGAAGCGTCACTGACGTGTGCAGATGTGAATCCTTAAACATTGCATTAGGCACGACCGGCCTCGCCACACGGGCTGACAATGGGCCCCCGTTGGGACGGTCCCGCGCTGCACCCGCGCGGTGCCTTTGGTTTATGGCGGCGATGCAAAGTCTCATCGAGGCGGAGGACGCCTTTTTCGTCGCTGCAGAGAGACGAGACTCGTCGCTCAAAGGGATTTTCGATCCAGTCGCAGTGTGAGCGAGCTGCTATCCTGTTAGCGCACGCACAGAGCTAACCATCAATATCAATCGCCAGCTGGTTAGCTTAGCACAAAAACTGGAATGGCGGGTGGGCACAGCCGGCTTTGCTCCGCCCACAGGCCGCCTCGGCTTTGAGGTCATGACCCTGTCGAGTACATTGATATTTCATGGGGAGATTCCAGAGCGCGTTATCAATCGAGGAAGTGAATCAGACGATGGGTGGGATGAATCCGGCGTGGCGCCAGACCTCCTTTCCGTAGGAGGACAGCTGTTCGCTCCGGTCGCGTCGAGCTGAGGCTCGAAAAGTGCTGCGCCGTGACATTTCCCGCGAGCGCGGAATGCACCCTCATTACGCGATCCCCGAAGACTGGCGCCGTCAGAACGGAGTCCGAACGGAGAAAAGCGTCAGGTGAACATCGGGCTGCGCTCGACCGACCGCGGCTCGGTCCGATCGGAGGAGGCACGAGGTGCCTCATGGGCTTTTCTTTTCATCTGCTGCCTGCCAAGTCTCCCTCTGCTGAACAGGACACGCATGAAATAACTTGTAAGGCCACAGTGGGAGGATTCGCAAACGCTCTGTGCAGCGAGGCGTCTTATCGTAAACTAACTTTCCACAGGTAAATCAGCTCCTTTCATTCCGGACCACATCTTTATACTTTGTTCCTTTAAAACATTGCGGCCATTGGGGCAGGAAAGGGGGGCGGTTTGATTGGTCCGGTTTCTTAATCATGGCTGGACATCCATTTAAGCTGCCGCGCGAACTGGCAGCCCCGTGTTTCATCTGGCAAACCGCCGCTCACTCGCTCTCTCCGCCGGTCCGATCGCCGTCCAGCGGGGGCGTCCGCGCCCTGAGAGCACGCGGCCGCAGACGGAACCCCCGGGAGTCGCGCGGCCCTCCTGGACAGCAGCTCGCACGGAGGGTTCGGGTTCGGCGCCGCCCCCGATGCACAGCGTCCGCGTTCCCCAGATGGCGGGTGGCCGGTGGGAGTCGTTGGACTTAACGCCGAGTCATGCTTACCTGTCTGGGAAAAGGATGCCAGAAGCTTTTCAACAGACATGCAGGGAATATTTGAGTGCGGCCTTTACCTTTTCTTCACCTGTCTTTAGGTTCATTCTTCACGTTGGAAGATGTTGTTTCACCAGATTCTGATCATATCACATGACCAACTTGGTCAAAAGATGGATATCTCCATTATTTCTTATTATAGGTCAGTTAATTCGTTGGGAAAATAGCAAAATAATTGACCATCACGATGTCTAATGAGAAATAACTAAACATTTAGTAAGCAGAACAACAAAGGTTTGACATTTAGCCGTTTAAAAATTGCTGATTCATTTTATAACATGCAATTAATGAACTAATCAGCTGATCATTTCAACGCTGCGTCTGTGTTTCGGAGCGGAACGGTTGAGACGTGAGGCTGCTGCTCCCATCTGGAGCCTCAATAAACCTAAACAACATTCCTGCTTTAGCTTTCTGAGGGGCCACATCAAGTACCAAACCATGAGGCCCCACATCCTCAATCTGCTGTCTCTCATCCAACACACACACGCACACGCACACGCACACACACACACACACGTCTGTCTTCGCCCGACACACAGCCGATCAGCACATCCGTCCCGACTTAATCATCTCTCAACTTATAAAAGCACTCCATACAGTGCAGTTTGTCACTGTCCTGTGAGACAGAGGGATCTTTGTGTGTCTGTGTGTGTGTGTGTGTGTCTGTGTGTGTGTGAGAGAGAGAGGTGCTCTGAATCGTCTGCCTTCAGAAGATAATAACAGAGCGTCTTCAGCCGCCATCTGAGGAAACGCGAGCTTGTGTTGGCCGACGTGACGGCAGCGTCGGTTTGAGGGGAGCCGGCGGGTTCCTAAATAGTTTAACATCGGGGCTTTTCGGCGTGCGAGTAAACCCTGGTCGCTCGTTGCGGGGAATGTCAGAGGGCATTATGGGAAGAAGGCGAATGGGGTCTGCGCCTCTGATGTGGGCCCCGCGGTCCCCTCAGCTTTTCCGGTTGAGGGATGGAAACATCTCCCTTCCCGCTGAGCTTCTGTGCTCCACACAGAGAACTGATACTTTCAGGTTCTGGGGATCAAGGCCAGAGTTTAAAGCCCCCCCCCCATCTCCCCCCGTACTGGGGACTGTCAACATTTACCCCGATAATGATAAATTAACAGCAATCTGTGTGGAAATTGGCAGGAGGGGAGCTACTCAACATCTTTGCAATGTGAGTCAACTTTGTGTCTGACTTTTCACAATAACTTCAACAGGCATCACAATGAAATCTTATTTTATAACTCTTTTTTTCACCAAATTACAAACGTGGAGGTGAGAATCGAGACGGTGGTTAATATACACTGTCCCTAAATCAATAAACACATTAAAAAAAAGGTGTATCTGGTTATGATAAAATAATGTCATTGCCTGCAATTGATTATTCTGCTTTTAACATCTGGTAATATTAGTAACATTGGTAATATCTTCACTTTAGACACAAGACGGTGTTTTTCAGTTGGCTTGCGTACATTTTTTATGAGGAAACGTCCGTTTCTCAGCAGCTTTCGTCTGACTTTTTGAGATGTACGTCCCTCGCCTCCCATTCAAGGGCACGCGAAGCGCCTGCATCCATCACAGGACCACGGAGAACAATCTACCGGGGGACACACGGTTGCTTTTACTGCCTATTGTCCCATCATTCATTGTAATCATGAGGCGGCTGACGAATGGGCTCATCTCCATAAAACCTTTGGTGCACTCTGTTAAACTGCATGCTGCTTTTAAACGTCCTCTAGGCTGCACACAGGTTCACTCCGTTTCACAGCGAACCAGTTTGCTCCTCGTGTCGTGCACAACAAAACCAACCAGGCTGATCGACAGTCACATAAATGACATGCACTTTTTTCATGGTATAATCACTCACTGAGACAAATTATTGAAATTATTGCAGTTATTTAGATTACTGTTTATTCATAATGTTCTAGCTTAAATGTGTTTATGTTTAGGATCCATTTTTTATGCATAACAAGTCGGGAAGAAGCTCATCCGCTGAACCTCTCCCAATATAGTGTTGTGCATTTCTATGGGAGATTATAAAACAAGCTATAGCTGGTCATGAAAACCTCCCGGTGGATTAA